CTGAGAGCCATTGGACGATGATAATTGATGAAAAATATTTGAATTGCATCATCTATTCAAATTTTCTTAAGCTGAAAGCATAGATAATAAGGCGTGAATTAGTCATCAAATCCTGAAAGCTCAAAGCTGAATTGGAACGTATTTTTGATATTTGAAAATGATTCCATCTGTATTGAATTATACAACTAAGCATGTAATACATCACCTAAATGCCACACGATAAATGAATGTCCTGTGTGGGATACACTATGATTTCACATGCAATTTGTATAAAAGTCTTCGTAACATTCACTCTCTTTCTCTCTCTATCCGTTGGAAAGTTGAAAGAGAAGGAAAAGCTGAAGTGAATGATCATGTTGAAACAGTCATTACTATCGTTTTCCCATAAGTTTAAAGTCTCATTAACTTTAATACAATACGTCTTTTATAACTGCTTAAGATGCTGAAGATGTTGTGGGACGATAAAGAGAAAAGGCTTTATATTCATGAATCTCGGACATGAACCCCCCCCCCCGCACTCTCTCTCTACCACGCCCGCCTCCTGACTTTCTCGGGTTTATCCTCAATGCGTCTTCCTAACATATGTCTCTCTTGCTCTAAACTATTAATTCTGTCTAATCACAACTATATCGTATTGATGATGATGATGAGATGTTCTAGAAGAACAGTGTGAATATCAATAACTAACTCTTCCAATATTTATAAACTGAGGAAAGTGTGTAACCTTTTGCTTTATCATTTCCATGTTATAATCATATAAAAGCCCACACACACAAAGAGTTGTTAGAGATACACCACTTACTCACTCACATCATCACATACCTATCATGGCATGGCTCATGATATGATCTTTACTTCAACTAAGTAAACTGTTGAAATAGATAGTTGAAGTTGTGTTTCCATTATCAATCATTCACATAGCACATGATGATGATGATGATGATGTGAACTCTCTTACATGATGTATCTCTCTGATTTCATGGTTTCAATCAATTGTTCTTAATAATTTTCATAACTGTGTGCTCTTACGGGGTCCGTCAGTCATCACTCTCTCTCTCTCATGCTGTCTCTTGTTCTCATGTTCGCAATCAGTGTCAGTCAGACTTCTTTTCCAATATTTTTGCTGAAAAAAAAAATAAAGGAAAAGGCTATTTGTCTGAAAATAGAAGGAACAACTCAATTGACAAGCAAGTGTTTCCTCTTCTGCCTCCCCTCTTCTCCTTATTAAAATAACTTTTGTTAAAATATTTTAATTAACTCAAATATTCGGAAATTAGCTTAATTCATCCTCCAGCATTCGATTAGATGATGTTGAACACAAAAAACGAGATGAGAATGACAAAACTTCCTTTTGTGGTATGTGTATTGGTCATTTCATTTGTTTTATATTATATTCTATATTCACGTTTTTTGTTGTTATTCTCTTCGAATGTTTATAGAGAGAGAGAAAGACAGGGTAGGAGAGAGACAGTAAGAGAGAGAGAGAGAGAATGAAGGAGGAAAAAAATAATATTCGGGACATCTTCATAAGCTTTTCACTTGAATATCTGAATTGAATGTTCCAAATGAAAAGCAAACGGAAATCCCCCATGTTAAGTACTTGAAAATATCTCAGTTTTTCTTGTCACTTGACCATTTAAGAAGATTCTATTTGTTTTGCTTTATTCCTTTTCTTTTTTGATTTTCACTTTTTCTGTTCCTATTCTAGAAAGATGCTCTCTCTCTCTCTCTATCATACTCTCTCTCTCTCTCTCTCTCTTAATGTAATGATTATTCAGTTTTATATATATACAGCTTCTTCTGCTCTTTTTATCTTTTTTTTTGTCGTCATTTATCAACTACTGCAGTATTCCACATCAAAATGCTTAAATTCGCTGTCGGTCCATGGGTTCCCAAAGTCTATGGCGATACCCGACCGAAAACACCTGTAATATCCATTCGTCGTAATCGGTAAGTTACCATATACCATACTAATACAAGTGATTGTTTCTATATAGCTTATAAACTTGATTATCATATTCTTGAAGGTGTTTGTCTGTGTGTGTGTCTGTATGATTGTGTGTTTTGGCATGTTGTTGCTCTCTTTTCAACCATTGCCACCATCTCTCTGCAACTTCCTATAAACTTGTGTATTGGCAGAGTTTCTTTTCTATTTTCTCTACAAAACTTCATTCAAACAGTTACTTCTATTGAATTATAGCAATGATTTTGGATTTTTCTTTCATTTTATTTGAACTTTTTGTGATCTAATTGATCAAAATGTGATAATTTGCGATTTGTACATGCTAGTTGGTACAATCGGCGGTGTTCTTTGTACAAGCCCATTCTCTCTCTCTCCTCCTCTCTCTCTTCATCTTTACCTCTGGGCGAATTCTAATTTACCTCCTCAAATAATCAATTTGCACTTGAACTTTCAATTTAACTATGATTTAGCTATTGATTAGTTTTTATTAATCATATGCATAGTTGGTATTTGGACTTTGAATTTATATGACCATTAACGCTATTCAACATTGAACAAGCTTGCTCGCCTGTGTCATTTCTTCTTCCTTCTTTTTTGTCTTCTCTCTCTATCTCTTTCTCTCTTGTTTTTACTTTTTTTTTCATATTGAATCACATACGTGTCAGTCTTTCTTTTATTCTCATCTTCTTCACCCCTCCTCCCCTCTCGTCACTTTTTTTTCTCTGAAAGTTTCGCATTCTAATGGTTAATACCTTAGTCGGGCACAAGAGATTATGGTGAAACGATTGTTTTGTTCTTTTTAAAATCAAAAAAGTCGTTACTGATGTTGTCTTCTCATCAAACAGTAGATGCAACAAGCGAGAATAAAGGAAAGAGGGAGAAAATTCTTGTGTTTCTTCGAGTTCTTCAACTCTTTCCATATTCTCTTTTAAGATCAAAGACATTCAGTAATTGTTCTGCCTCAAAGTATGAAAGTACTTTTTCAAGGTTTATTCTTTAATTCCTCCTCTTCCTTTTTTTTATTTCTCTCGTAGAGAGGAGGAGGCAAAAAAAAAGTTAGTCGGACATGCTGTGAAGATATGTATCGCCCAATCGGTTATGATTTCATTCGAAGAAGGATCTGATACTTGATACTTATTTTTTCTGGAAACAAAAATCTTTTGTGATGTTTAATGATGGATGATGGACTAGTATGTATCGGCTGGTCAATTCATAAGCTAAGCTTAAAACTTTTAGCTGCAGTAGTAGGGAAGATTATATCATATACATGGGACTCAATTATATAGATGAAAGCTTTCTCTCATTCGCCCCCCTTCACTTCTCTTCTTCTACTATAACCCTCCGAAAAAGGAATGTTCAAAACAAAGGTAGAGGGTAATGGAGTGATTGCGTTCACACCTCTTCCTCTACTATATGATTGCTGCCAACAGCTGGAACAAATCAATGATTGAAATATTTGTGTTCATAGTCGAGAATTGCATTAAAAGCTGGTGGAACAATGGAAAAACATTGTATTTGTTAATTCCCCCTGCCATAGTCACGAAGCCTACAACTTCAACATCGTACATGTCCATATATGGTCTAATTCTTATTGCACTTCTTTCTATTATCTGTCCTATACGGACTGCCTTGTTGCTGTACAGAAGAGGATGGGAGGTCTAGTTCTATTTATTCTCCAGTTGACTCAACCTGTCTCCGATCAAGGAGACGTCGATATCGAATGAGAATGCAGAGAAATGTAGAAAGATAGAAATTTTTGAGGAGATTCAACAGATTTCCAGTTAGTTTTTTCAACATTCTCTGCCTCCTGTTTGCGTCAACACATGCTCAACGTATGTCTACAAGTTAGCAATTTGCAAAAAAAAAAAAACACATCATCATTTGTATTTTCGCTTTCAACTCTCAACTTGTTGACGCTTCACATCGATACGTTCTATGTTCCAAAAAGTTTATTTGACACCCGATATAGTCTAGCGATTATTCTAATTTCATAGCTTTGTTTAGCTTCTCCATCTTCATTATCAATTGCAGCATAATGAGAAGCTTAAATACTGATATGATACAGATGACAAGTGCTTTCAGATGTACAAAGCGTTGTATGCGTGAGCTATACTATCGGCATATGTTAACAATGCATGATTCTAACAGCCACTTGTTCCTTATCACTTTCCAGTATTTTTTCTTTTGATTTGTGCTTTCATCTTACTTGCATTTCTCTTGCTCAAATATGGCACTAGACACGTCTATTTGATCATCATAATTGATCTAGACAGGGCAAACTTGAAGACTTCGGAGGGAATGACGCCCAACTTCTGCGCCGGATGTTGACGTGCGTAGTCCATTTCTCTCAAAGATTTCAAGCTCAATCGTCATATTACTTTTCATTCTCTATTAAGATAGTCTGATATTCATTTAGCGAATAGATGGATGCATTATCATTATCGACAGAACATTGGTGATTTAATTCTTTGTCCTAACAAGTTGCTACGTCACGGACGAATTGCCTACCTGTACTCCTAATTTTAATTGATTTGAGTACTTGTCTATACATCAGCAACTGGCAGATTGTGTTCTTTTGGAAAGAAAAAAAGAGAGCAAGAGCGGGAAAGCGTAAGAAAGTGAGAGAGAGAGAGAGCTTGAAAGACAGTTCGAGAGAGAGATGGAGACACTAAGGCGAGAACGATGTCTTTTTTTTAGCGTCCGTGATTCTCTCCATTTCCAAATGCTATACCTCTCTCTCTCTCTCTCTTCATGTATTTTTCTTTTCCTCTCCTAATTGTCACCTTTATCTGTACATCTCTCTCCTTTCCTTCTTACTCTCTTCAGTGGAAATGTCTTCACTTGAATGTCACGCATCTTTTTCAATTCTCACCCCCTCCCTTTCCAATTCATACCTCGGCACAATCCGCATTCAGGTCGTCTTCTCCCATTCCACAATACCTCTTATGATTTCTCTTGTCATTACATTACATTCATTATCGCTCTGTCGTACTTTTTGTAAAATCTCCATATTGATCTAACGTATTGTGCATAGAACATGGGACCATATCCACAGTCAGTATACTCAAGCTCTATGAGTTCACGAATTCCAATTTATTATAATCCGGATTCGCACAATCGTAATTACATCCAGCTACGGTAAGATAAAAGATATTCTACTTAATATCTATACTATGACAATTCAATTATATCTTTTTTATAATTTTTGAAAGAAGATGAAGATGAGAAAAAAAAGATTTTCTTTCTTCTCACAATGGACTCTCAATGTCACCACCGATTCTTGATTCTTGTCTCTCAGCTGACCGAAAAGATCCGATTTCTCATAAGAGTAAAATAAGTTCATCTGATGAAACTTAACTAACTCATTCATTGACATTCATTTTGAGCTTGTGTGTGAACAAGCTTTATCTTTTCGTTAACGTATCTAGCTCAGCCTCTCTATCTCTCTCTCTCCTTCAACTTGCAAATGAGAATCCATTTCTTATTTTCAAGCTGAGCTTTTTCTCTTGCATAACTTACAACTTTCTGTTTTTTCACCTTTTGCCATCTTCTCGCACATTCTCGATGACGATTATTTCATCGTCGTCTTCTTTCCATAAGTTGCCAATAATATTTTGAGTTTTAATGCCAATTATGAACTCTCTCTCTATTTTTCTCAAAAATAACTTTTGTTCGCTTGGACGATTTTCAATTAAAATTCGACGTCGTCAAAGAATATGAAAAAAGGATTTTCATGTTATTGTTTGATCTATTTATGGTTTTTGATGATGCTTGATGGTTCACTTCATAGTCTTCCCCCATCTTCTTCATCTTCATCATCTTCTTCTTCCTCTTTCTTCCTCATTTCTAGTTTTTTCAAACTTTTTTTTATATTCTATTTCATTGAAGTTATGATATATGCTATACATTATTAGATGCATTTCATCCTTCATGTTTGATAGGTCAAAATGAAATGAAAGAACAAGCAATGCGTTCACGTACATTCAAATCTCTCTTTCTCTCTCTTACATTTGCTTGAACTCTTTCTTACTTGTCTCTAGGTCACTTACATTATGTTCTTTTCGTATAAATTCTCTAAAAGTTTGTATTCTAAACTAGTATGACCTCTTCTGAAATCCAGTGCTCTACTTCCAGACACATACACACTTTACCTTACACCTTACAAATCTCTTACTATCTATCTGTCTTTCATGTATTTATAATATTAGTAGAAGAAGAATGTTCTAGTCATTTCAACGGTATTATATCTCTATTCTCACTTACATATATCTTCTACTTCGTCATTCGCATCTTCTTCTACTTATTTCGGTTTCTGCTACGTCCTCATCGTTCGTTAGTTTTCTCTTCAAGTGGATTGCCATCATCATCCAAATAGCTAGCTTCTTTCTAGCTTAAGCTTCCTGTTCCCCGCATCGATGAACTGTCTCCTCACTTGTCCTCATCAATTGTCTGTCACCACGCAAGCTTTTTTTCTACTTCTCTCGTTCTCCTTTGAGGCATAGCAGCTGGATGCTTCAGGAGTCTCAAATGAGAGTTGAACGCAAAAAGAAGTATGCAACAAACTTTTTTTCAATCCTTCACTCATCTCCCTCTTCTTTTACAATTACAAAATTTGTAATTGCAACTAGATAAGTAGAGATGTATGAGTGGCTGGAAACGCAACCGCTCTCTTCGTACTAATTTTTAAAAATGAGCGAATAGTCATCGACACGTGAGCGTCACGTGGAAATAGGTGTCTATGTTAATGAGATTGGGGAGGATAATGACTCAGAGCCCCCATTAGTCAGACTGCGATAGTAATTGTATTTTTTTATTTTCAAAGTTCGAAAAAAATGAAAACTGATATGTTTGAAATGTAGGAGTATGGTGTTATGAAGGAGAGTGTCACTCACTCTGTTCAGATCAAGTTGCTTAGGTTGAACAAGAACGACGTTGCAGTAATAGGAGAAAAGCTTTATCATATCTCTCTGTTTTTGCAGCTCACAGCTCAACTCACCTCTCATACCATATGCCATAGTAGCATTCGTCACATCAAATACCATTTTCATGCAGCATTATATACTGGAAAAATGGATTTTGTTCAGCTCTTTTTCTCATTTCTCATCCATCCCGATGGCTGGAATGAATACACAGCTGTATAAATCTCTGTTAAATGAGTTTCCTTTTACCAATTTCCTCGTTCAAACAACACATCTTCTACGCCTATTTTGGACATGTTTTCTGTTTTTTTTTATTCTCTCTTGATTTAATCACACTTCCCCTGTATCTCATCCCATATAAGGATTCTCATTCTGAAACAGCATCGAAATTTAATATTTTTAATTCAAAAAAATGCTACTCAATTTTCTTTTTGGACCACTCTTCTTCAATTCTTCTCTCCCTCCCTCTCTCCCTCTCATCTCTTCTCTCCCAGATTCGCACCATTTCTTCTTTACAACATGTCATTCCTCCGTTTTTTTGATCAAAAAACATCCAAAATAGGAAGATGGGAAATTTGTAGAACTTTTGTGTGCTGCTTCTTCTTCTTTTTCTTCTCAACCGATATTACCCTGAGCTGTCCAGTTTGCAACCGCATCAGAAGCGCAGCGCTGAAACGAATTCGAAAGAACTAGACCATTCCTCTCTCAAAGTTCAACAGAATTTTCTTTCCGGTCTAATGATGTATTTTATTTTTTATTTTCTAAAAACGACACTGTTGTTGTTTTTGAGATTATAATTGAGTTCTGACTAATCATATGAGTAGTTAAGAAATTATTACAAAATGGGTCTTTTACTGCGCCTGCGCCTGTGTGTATGTGTGTGTGTTTATGCGTCTGTATGTTGCCCGGTAGTAGAAGTTGGAGTAGTGGTGGAGGATTTGTTCATTTGAAAAACCAGTTAATTTTATTTTTTTGAGTGGTTGAGATGGACCTTCTATAGGATGTACCTGAGTGAGAGCTCACTGAACTTTCATTCACCTACTTCTCTCGATTGCTCTATTCACTCTTCTTCAGCGTTTCTAAAATGATTCTCATATTGGTCTCTTTTGATTCGGTTGATCATCATCATCATCTGATGATGATGGCGAAGATGCAACTGTGAGGTTGTGTCAAATCTCACAGACAGAATTGTCTATGAGACTTCAGAAATCACAATGAGCGTGTGTGTGTGTGTGTCACCGTCGTTTCGTATGCATAGCTTCATTTCTTCTAATCCCTTAATTTATATTTATATACATCGTATAGTAATTGCTTTGATTCTATATATATAAATTATAAAAGAAGAAAAACAAGTATTTGAAGCTTATTGCCGTGTTGACTGAAAATTGTTGGCACTGGCGGTTTTCCAAAAAAGGTCAAATAGCTCGCTTCCTCCTCCTACCCCTCCTCTTCTCCTCTTCTCTGCTACCACATAAGCAAATATGGCAGAAGATGTCGTTATTCACATATATTTCTATTTTTGTTCCTTACCTTTTACCGCGAAAAAACCTTTTTCCTTCTTTTGCCGCTTCAGTTCTTGATGGACTAGTTTTGGCATTCGTTATCACCCGAGGAAGCATCGTTGAACTTGATTGAATTCTACTTATCAGTTGGCAGATCTCTCTTTACTTACACTTATACCTCTTTTCCACTCACATTCTCTTTTGATTTCTCCTATTTAACTAAAAAACTGTTTTTTTCTCGAATGTTGGTTTGCACCCAACTGATTGTCCAGTAACTTACCGAAGTCGACGGCCTTTGAGTTCCGGTCTTGGTTGACGGTCAGAAGTGAATGAGCAACACGACATTCATCTGTATCTTTTCCATCCTTATCCCATATTTTCTCTTCCTGCGTTTTCTTCTTTACCGTGTGTGTATTTGAACAAACGACATGATACGTCCTCTAGGCTTCGTCCGGCTTCTGAATTGAAAACTCTTTTCTTCTGTCTGCATCTCCCATTTCGTTCTGTTCTTTAATTTCACAGATTGAGTGTATTTTTTGTTTTTCTTCGCTTTCAGTCGCCTCAACGCTTCCAGCTTGCTTTCCTCTCTCTCTCACATTTTCTCTCTCTCTTCCTCTCTCTTTGTCTTGCCTTTACCTGTTTCGTTTTATCATCCATCATATCACCATCCATCCTCTATTCGTTGATTCGATTTTTTACTTCACTTCATCTTTCCATTAGCTTTTAATTTATCCAAATGAGTCCTTTTGATGTTTTAAGTGCTTGATTAACAATTCTCTCTCTCAATCCCACCCTCTCTCTCTCTCTATCTCTAGTTGCTTGTCTTCCATCTTGAACAACACAAACTGTTGGAACCTCAACCTCATTTTTGACAACAAAAATTATCTTTTTCTTACCTTAATTAGATTGCTTTACTGGACTATATTAGAAGAAGAAGAAAAAACTGAATGATTGTTGTTTATCGTTCCTTATATATGGTAAACAATGAAAAAGACGAGCTTAAGCTAAATGAGATGCATTTTTGTGTATACAAGTCAGAGTCGCTCCTCACTCACTATCATTCGGAGTCAAAATAGAACTTTCAGTAGCGCATACTAACAGCCTCTGTCATTTATCAAATAATCATTATTCACATATTATTTTATTTTTTTTATTAATCTTTTTATATTTTTCAGCGAATCTTCCGCTCCATCACTACGACGTCGACCTAAGGAAACGACTTTCGGCGTTTCAGAAGACGAGTCTGAAGAGCACAGCTGGACGCCAGCTACAATGCAGGTACGTCAAATTGTATTTGAATTTGATGATTCTGGTTGATATGAGATTGATAATGCATATATGTATGTATTTTGGGGGGCTTTTTCTTCTTCATCACCATAAAAGTTATGATGGGGGGATGATCATCATCTATGATTCACAATTCGAACATCACAGAAATTCAACCAGTGTGATTCGTGAATAACAAAAGGAAAATTGGACTTTTCTATATTTTTTGTGAATAATTTAACCCTCGGACAAGTTGCGAAAATCCATTTAATCCTCTCCGAATCTTTTTGGATTCTTTTGTTTTTTCTCCATTTACGAAATGATCTGTTTCGATTTTTGCAAAAGAATTGACGTCATTCATCGGTTGAGCTTCGGAAAATCCGGTAGGAGATCGGACTCGATTGAGGTATTTCGTCATTTATATCTGGTCTCCATTGCCTTTTGGAGTTTTGATCTGTTTTTTTCTTTTTATAATTTACATTCTGATCTCAATTCTTCTCTTTACCATCCCTTCAAGCTGCAAGCTCGACAGATTCCGCGATAATGACAACTTCTTGCTTCATCTCTTCTTCGGTTTGGCTTTATTATATGATTGGCGCCTGCTCTGATGAGACAATACGATGACGACAACGATAGCTTCGATCTTCGAATGATCATTTGGAATTGGGTGAATATGTCGGAAAAGCTTCAGTTTTCAGAGCAATTCCGTCAGATACTCTTTCATCAATTCTTCTGCCGACTATCTTTCTTGACGTCGACACTCAGTGTATTCCAAGGATATTCTTGTCCAGTTTCCGGGAGTTAACTGCCAAATGTCTCTTCAGCTCTTCGATATTTTCTCGCACTCTGTCGTTGCCAGCTTGTATTTTCGCAGTTTCTCTAAAAATCTCTTGTTTTTGAATGTTTTTTTTCTGATACAGTTTCTGTATGCTTTTCTCTTACCGTCTCAGCTTTCGTTAGCTGATGAAGCTTAGGCCTCGTGTCGCTGGTGCTCTTCTCTCCGTCTAGTCCCTCTATCATTCTCTCTCTCTATCTGTTGCTTCACATATCTCAGCTTAAGTTTTCTCATTCTCTCTTCACCTTCCTTCACTCTTATATGTGTGCGCTAAATGAGAAATGTATGTGCAATAGAGAGAAATTATCTGCGATTTTTCTTTGTTTCCCTCTCTTCTCCTCATTTTTTTACCTCTCTCTCTGATCTCCTCCTCCTCTTTTTCTCTCTGTACCTTTGGCTTCACATTCATCGGACACAAGCCGAAGGAGGGCAGACGACAAGAGAAGAAGAAGAAGCAACACGAGAAGAAGAAGAAGAAGCAGAAGTAGCATGGATTAGTCTCTCCTTCAAATTCCGAACTCTTCAGAAAAAGCACATCAATCCTCCGTCCTTTTCCCACCTAGCACCAGTGATTACATAGCTTGTCTGACTTCTAATCATCGATTCGTTCAAAATTACATTTTCTATCAGCTATCATAATCATATTCCCTGAATAGTGCTAAGCTACACTGATCACTCAAATCGGATCTATTTGAAAGATAGAAAGTTGTCATCATCTTTCTTTTCATCCATTGCTCATATCGCATAAAGCTTAAGTACTTAACAACAATTGAAAAAAAAGCTTTCACTGCTCACTCATTATGCTCTATGCTGTGAGCAAACGTTATCAGTACTAGCACAGTACATCATCTATATTCATCTGCTAAGCTTTATTACATTCCATATTTGTTATATTTCTCCCATCCCTGTCCCCTTGTTGTTATATTAAATCCTCTCCTTCTCCTTCTTCATCGTCGTCTTCTTCTTCTTCTTCACATTTTCTATCTGAGGATGTCAACCCATTTTAAGATGGTTACTGGACGTCAACCAGGTGGACGTATCAGTATTGCTGACGCCATCCGAATGTTCGAAGGAGAGGTATTCGTTCTTTTTCTTTTATCTCATATGCCCACTTCTATACATTTCTAACATTCTTTTTTTTGTTCGAAGAAACAGTTCTACAAGCAACATCATCTCGTTTACCTCATTTATCGTTCACCCCAATAGGCCTCCTCCTGTCTGTTGATGGGAAAACGAATTTTCTGAAATTTCCATATTAAATCAATTGGATTGGGTTATTCGATTCTCTTGTCATTTCACATCCATTTTTGGATTCCTTTTGCTTTCGTATTGATTTGACATGAGCTTTCAGTTGATTTTCTTCTATATTTGACATGAGCTCTAGCACTCAGTTCATCATCATCATCATCCTTATATTGACTCGAATGATTTCCATTTTTGTCTGGTTTTCACCAATGATCACGAAAAATATTTCGGAAGAACATTAATTTCGTTTGAACGAATCCTGCCTCCCATCACTCCATTACCTTTCTGTTGTGAGACAGAAGAGGAGATTTAGAAAATCAGCAACAGTTTCATCGTCGTTGTGTGAGGGGCGGTTCAAGTTATGTTCTCATGCAAGCTTAATCCGTCTTACTTTCTTTAAATATTTTTATAAAGTGAGAGAGAGAGTGCTTTTGCTGCTCAGAAGATTTGAACTGTCAGCAAATCGCTGAAATTTCTTATTCGATTTCTCAGAAATAGCCTAATACCAATAGACAGGACGATAGAACGTCTACTTTTGACGGTCTCTCCTGCTTTTCGGAAGTTCAGGTCGACTGACATCTGTCTTTTCTCTCATTCATTTTCATCTTCTGTTTCTCACAAAATTATTGTTTGGATTGCCGAAAGTACTGTTAACAAGAGAGATGAACAGTACAATATGGTTGATGGAACGAGAGAACGAAGAAAGTGTAGAGGCTGATGATGATCATGTTGATGATGATGACGACGATGACGATGATGATGATGATGATGATGGTGAAAAGAAAAAAGAAAAATGATCTTAAAGGCACAGAAAATAGTTTGTCAGCTTAGACTTTTCTTCTGTATTAACACGTCTCGTGTTGTTCTTCACCAACTTCCGACAACAGAAAGACCTTTTTTGTCGAAAGATGACCATATCACGACGACAACGACAACGACGGTAATGATGATGATGTTAAACAGACTGACTAGACAAAGCTTCTACCATTTCTTGTGTAAATCTAGAGAATCTGAACCGGTCCCATCTATCTTCTCCTCCTCACTACCTTCAGCAGTCTTCATGAAGCCTCTTCAACTACCAATATCTTCTTCGTCTTACTACAAGATTTGATTTCGACAGAAAAAAAAGAAAAAAAAAGGTTGAAAGAGTGTTCACGTGAAGATGTTTGGCCAGATGGTTTCTTGAAGAAGTTTCTTTTGTTATTATCAACTTGAGAATGTCAACTGTTTCATGATCAGCTTTGTGAACTTTCATATGACATATGTGATCAGTTGAAACTTCCTGTTATGGAAAGCTTTTTTTTGGATGGAAAAACAGAATGAAGATGGTTCGCCCTTCGAAAAACTTGTCGCTAAAGAGATAATGAGATGATCCAATGCCAAAAAAGATATTTTTCTAAATTCAAATGTGTTGGAATGTAAAAAATGAAAAAAAAGAATGATGAAGAAGAAAAAAGCTGATCAATCAATAATCAAATCAGATCCATACCTGTAGTTGAATCATTGAAGTATGTAATTTTCATCCGTTTAGGCTTGTACATCAAGTGCCAGTACAGCTGTACATCACCGTAGCCCAAGTAATTCGATGGTTCAATCATCAACAATTCGAAAATCAATTCCTAATGGATATCCAAATGGTTTCTCAACCACTAATAGATATAACTATTCGTCTAATAATAATAATAGTTCGCCAATCAATGGATATTCAACACAGCAGTCATGTAAGTTCTACTCTAATAGATAGATAGAAAGAGAGAGAAACCAAAAGAGAGAGTAAAGTAGAGAGACAGGTTGATAGAAAGAGAGAGAGAGAGAAGCTTTTGGTTTGCTCGATTCCCTCGTCGTTTTTTCCTTACATGAACATCAATCAATCGTCATAACAAATGATGGAAGAAGGATATGTGTTGATTAAGAATGATAACGATGAAACGAAGGAAATATTGACTTTAAGATGAATTGTCCAATTACATTTCTCTCTCTTAATCGTTACATCTTTCCAGCAGCTCTTCGATCGTCTATGAATTCTTCAAGGGCTTCTCCTCGATTGGGACATGTAACCTCATCTAGTCCACGCTCATCATTAGTCAGGTTTGTTCAGACGTTTTTTTTTTTAAAACTTTTTCGAAACTCCAAAAAAGGTTTTCTTTCTCGCATTTTGACGATCGGGGATGACCTCCACTAACAATCAAACAATCAAATGATTTAATAAAAATAATAAGAAAGAAAAGAAAACTTTTGTTTCTTTCTCATCACCTATTCTTCTTTCTATAGTTCATTTGTTTGTTTCATTTCTTCGCGAGACCCATATGAGATTGTTGCCATTGGATTCCCTCCATTAACCTTCCCTCCGTATTCTATCTTTTCTCCTATCTTCGTCATTTCCTTTTGCATGTCCACTTCATCCTCTTTCACGTGTCAGCTTCATCCTTTACTAACGTCTTCTTCCATTTATGTTTTCCGTATTAACTTGAATTAGTATGTATCTACGTCTTTGCTCATGTTTTGCTCCATTCCTTCACTACCTTTTCTACATTTTATATTAATTTTAAGTTTTTTTCTTCTTATGAATTCAACACAAAAATTCTGACGATGGTAATTGAAGCTTAACTATGTGATGTCAACATGACTATGTTGAACTAGTTGTTGTATAGTTAGTTATGTATTCCATTAACTACACACATCTATATGTCTCAGACTATTTATCCTCCCCACCTTCCTTCCTCCTCTTTCTTACCTCCTCCTCCTCCTCCTCCACCTCCTCCACCTCCTACTCATCATCATCTCCCCTTCCCTATTTTGAAATAATTATTTCATTAATTATTTTTCTTGTTTTCAGCAATTCATCTCATAACTCAGCTGGAATAGGAGCAAGTCCTCCGTGCTCAAGACGATCACCACAGTCGAATAAGGTTAGTTGAATGATCAAAGAAGTTATATCATTCGAGTTGAGAGAGAGATAGAGAGAGAGAGAAAGAAATGAATATTCTAGGTGAAGAAAGTGAGATTAAGGGAGTGGATGTTTGGTCAATACTAATTCTCATTTACTTAATGAGAATTGAAAAAAACAGAAATGGAATTCGTAGAATGATTATCTGAAGATGGAAGATATATAATGAAAGTTTGATGAAACTTCGTCGAAGCTCTCTTACTTCCAGAAAGTAATCTTGTGAGGCGTGGGCGTGTTTTTGACTTTGTCCGCTTAATTTTGAAACATTTTTTATGAAGAAAATAGATTTTCATATGTAGAAATGACGACACGAAAGGCGAGGATGATAGAGATCTTATGTTCTATTTCCCTTATATTCCTCCTGTTTCTCTTCTCGCACCAAGTACGACACAACTGGCCATCATGACCATTCTGTCTTGTCTGATCACACTTCTGAGAGTGAATTTTGGATTTTAAAAAAAAAAATTTGTTCGCTTCTGGTCTATCAATTACCGCTCGTATATATCAAAACAGAATGTTTTCTCAGAAAGAATTTGACATTAAACGTTCTCAGTAAAATACATCTGATGCTGAGAGGATGATATTCTGAGAATGAAGACGTATATATCTATCTAAGTATTGTCTTTGAACTCCTCTTTCCTTGAATTAAAATATTCAATGATTCCTGATGTTATCAATTTACTCACTCACTCAACTATATTTAACTTATTTCATAATATATGGAATGAGAAACAAGAATGAAAGTGCTTGAAGGAGATAGATATATAGATAGAAAGAGGGAGAGAGAGAGATCTTGATTAACCGTGTAGTGCGTGACGTCAAAATGAAAATGAGATGTCATAACCTGTTCTGGAGGGAACTTCCACGTAAAATTAGCATATTCGTTCTGATTATGTTTTTGATTGACGCAGAAACACTTTCTTGTGTTTTAACAATCTTATTTTGCATGAATGCAAAATGATTTTTCGTGTTTTCTTTATGCAAATTTCATGTTGAGAAAGCTTTGAAGTAATTCAGCTATTTCATTGCTTTAATGGAGAATGTTTCGAGAATGAAATAGGCAGACAGAAAGAATGTGAGAGAGAGAGAGAGGAGATAATGAGTGAGAGAAGACGTCTAGCTATTTCAAATAATTTTTTTGTTGAAAACTGAATGATACTTTCTGAGCTATGCTGCTGCTTCTTCCTCATCAACAACTCATTTCGCATATTAGACTCTCACGAATTCATTTCATTCTGGTTATTTTCAGTCAAACTCCCCGGTTGATGAAGATTCACTCGTAACTGTCAGAATGAGACCTGATTTACACGGCCGTTTTGGATTCAACGTCAAGGTTTGTTTTACTTTTCAATATTTATTTCTGAACATGAGATATTCGTGCTATTACATCATTTCTACTACTTTCATCCTCACATTCTTATTGAATTCAGGGCGGTGCTGATCAGAATTTCCCTGTCGTCGTCTCTCGCGTAGCTCCAGACAGCGCTGCCGATAAGTGCCATCCACGACTGAACGAAGGAGATCAAGTAAGCTTTATAAAATTATATTTTAAACTATTTTTGGTTTTTAAGGTGATTCTAATCAATGGTCGTGACGTGGCCAACATGGCCCATAATGAAGTTGTCAATTTTATTCGTAAATTCCGAGATGTCTCTGGCGGAGCTGAATTAGTTTTGACTATCAAGCCGAATGGTAATATATTTCTTGTTAATGACAGAATTATAAGAAATCATTAAAGTTTATCGGTTGGGAGATGAATCGGATGAGCCGGAAGTAAGCAATTATCCTGAATCAGCTCGTGTTGCTGAAAGTGTTCCACGCAGCGATAAACTATCACATTCTCTTCGCATACTTGGAGAGACATTAGCAAGTGGAAAGATTGTCCAACAATTTGAGGTTTGAAACATCAACATCATATATATGGAATGCTATGTATGTCTGTCTTTCAGCAACTCTATCGTAAGAAAGTTGGAATGACAATGAATGATTGCCGTCTTCCACACAATGTTAATAAGAACAGGTAAAAATAAATGAAAAAAGATTATATTAATATGCATTTGTATTCTATTTATAGATATCGCGATGTTTGTCCTTATGATAGTACTCGCGTTCATTTAGCTTCTTCATCTAATGGAGATTATATTAATGCTAATTATGTAAATGTACGTTTTTTGACTTTTATGCACTGCATAGAGATGGCTTTGTAATGTTATTTTTGTTTATTTTTCAGATGGAAATTCCATCTTCTGGAATTGTAAATCGTTATATTGCTTGTCAAGGTCCATTAGCTCAAACAACTTCTGATTTCTGGTTGATGGTTTGGGAACAGCTTTGTACAACAATCGTAATGTTAACAACAACAGTTGAGAGAGGACGTGTTAAATGTCATCAATATTGGCCAAGGTGGGTCATAACATATTACATATTATATATTATAAATTATATATATTTAAGATTATATGAGAGTCAGGAATATGGCAGATTAATTGTCACATGCTTGAAGGAGCGCGAAACAACCAACTGTTGTTACCGAGAATTCTCGGTAAAAGATTGGAACGTATGTCTTAATTATACTTTGATGTATATACATTCTAATTTCATTATTTTCAGACAAAAGAAGAACGACGAGTCACCCAAATGCAATATACTGCATGGCCCGATCATGGAGTTCCTGACGATCCAATGCATTTCATTCAGTTTGTGGATGAAGTTCGCCGTGCTCGTGCTGGAAGTGTTGATCCGATTGTAGTCCATTGTTCTGCTGGAATCGGACGTACTGGTGTACTCATTCTAATGGAAACGGCCTCTTGTCTAGTTGAAGCCAATGAGCCAGTTTATCCATTAGATATCACCAAAACGATGAGGGATCAACGGCCTATGGCTATACAGACACCTGTATGTTTCAAAGTCCATTAGAGTATCATTCATTTCATGCATTTCAGTGTCAATATACGTTCGTATGTGAATCTATCCTTCGAGCATATAATGAAGGAATCATAAAGCCGTTAGCAGAGTATCAAAAGAGATAATGAAAGCCTGTCTTAATCTAAGAATACAAAGTATAAATATATAAATATATATATATATATAACATCAACTAATGAAATTAACATCAAAATACGGTATTTAACTCGGGACCAGACTTCTATGTAGATCAAAACAAAGTTTATTTTTGTTGATCAGAATTGAAATCTCTTTATATGCTTCGCAATGTGCATCATTTCTATTTTCCAGCTAACCTTCCCTCCTTCCCTCCCTCCCTCCCTCCCTATTCTCTGCCCCCCATTTCTTACTTGTCATTCTCACATTGTGAAATTTCTAATACAATCGTAACTTGTTAGTTTAGAAACTACTTGTTCTTTCAAAGAATCTCTTGTCTATAGTACATGGAATGTATTTCTCATTGTAATTTGCTGTTTAGCTTGTGATTGACAGAATGATTATTATACGATTCGAGAGAAACTCTTCTATTCATTTTGTGAAATATTTCAACCACTCATCTATTTTGATTCTTTAGCATACACAGATGGTTTTCGTTTCGAGCCAAACTAGTCATTTCAATAACTTAAAACTCTCTTACATACTCTCTCACTCTCTTTCTCCCTCTCTCCCTCTCTCTCTATCTCTCTCTCTCTCTCTTTATATATATACCTTCCTCTCCTTTCTTCGTTTTCAATGATTGCGGGTTCTCATCCGTAAAACATATTTGCTGTTATTCCTTATTTAAGAACATAAAAACTTATTTTCCAACTATCAAATGTTAATTTTCTTCTATAAATTCGTGTTTTTGTATTGGGTACCGTGTGCTTTTATTCATTTTTCTCCATAAATTCTTTGGAAATTGTAAAAAATGATAATAATAAAGAAACAAAATGATTCAACGACGTCCTATCTCATTGAGTTGGTTAACAGTAGGGTTACGCTAAATCGAATTGTTAATACAGGGGGGTTCTCTTCTTAAAGCTCTTTCAGATCTGAAGATCCTTGTGAAAGGGTTACTTGTTGATCTTACGTGCATGAAATCCTTACCGCTTGTATCGCATCTAGGATGTCCCGATGTAGTTGTTAGATACAATCCAGAAGCACAATAGAATACTTCACATGCTCCAGTTGTATGGCAGAATATGCTATTTGAATACACTAAATGGCTGGTTATATGAAATCGGAATTTTAAAAGTTCACATGATATACCATGTTCGATAGATATTCAGTTTTTATAAATATAATGAGAGTTGAAGTATGAGTAACTTCAAGGCTGAGCAACTTAAAAGTTGAAGCAAGAGGAAAGGTAGAGAGAATAAGTAAGGATGAGGTGGTAAAAAATGGAATAAAGAGCTTAAAACTGAGACGGAATATTCAACCCCACCACCTCCACCACCCTCCTTACTCCTCAGAATAACAGCTTCATCTGCTAAACGGATAAAAAAGGGCAAAATGTGGGAACATCTTGATACTCGAACTATTTAGTTCGGGGGCCACTCCGATCGCACAGAAACTGCGCTATCGGCTCCCGATTGCCTCAGAACATTTCTCCGGTATTTAGCCAGCGCGACCAGGCAGAGACGCATATGAAAGCGAGAGACAGCCAGACGTTGGGAGAGTGTCAAGTCTTGCTGAGTAGATAGCGGAGAAATGTTCTGAAGCAATTGGGGAACCGATAGCGCAGTTGCTGTGCGATCGGAGTGGCCCCCGAACTAAATAGTTCGAATAAAGAGGAATTCCTAGTACTTTTGCTATTTTATATCTGTTTAGCAGATGAAGGAGGGTGGTGAAGTTTGTAAGAATAGATATTCCTTCTCAGTTTTAAGCTCTTTATTCCCTTTGTTACAAACTTATCTTTATTTTCTCTACCATTCTTCTCAATTCAACTTCTAGTGTTTTGGTTGCTCACCTTTGAGTTACTCATACTTCTCCTTTAGAGATCAGGATCATCCATGCAGGATGCTATCTGTGTCTTTGATAGGATCATCCTGAATTGCTGATCTTATTCTCTCTACCTTTTCTCTTGCTTCAACTTCTATCGTCATATTTGCACACTCTCCACACACACTCTCCCACCGTCTGGCCGTCTCTCGCTTTCAATTGTGTTTGTGCCGGGTCGCGCTGGCTAGATAGCGGAGAAATGTTCTGAGGCAATAGGGGAGACCCATAGCGCAGTTGCGGAGCGCTCGGTTCTCCCTATATACTAAATAGTTCGAGCAAATGAGGAATTCCTAGTTTTTGCCATTTTTTATCCGTTTAGCAGATGAAGCTGTCATTCTGAGGAGGAAGGAGGGTGGTGAGGTTGTGAGGTTGGTTATTCAGTCTCAGTTTTAAGAACTATTCCATTTTTCACCAGCTCATCCTTATCCTTACTTATTCTCTCTACTTTTCCTCTTGCTTCAACTTTTCCCATCTTGGGTTCGCAGACTTAGAGCTACTCATACTTCTCTTTTAGAGATCAGGATCATCCATGCAGGATGCTATGAGAAATGTTCTGAGGCGATCGGGGAATCGATAGCGCAGTTTCTGTGCGATCGGAATGGCCCCCGAACTAAATGATTCGAATATTGAGGACTCACAGAACTAGACAACGCAAACATCGAAGCAAAAGATTTCTTGAACCCTAATGGTTTATGTTTCTTTTTTCCCAAATAGGAATTAGCACAACAAACTGCTCAGTGATCCTTCTAAGCTGAAGCAGTTTCGCTCCTTCTGCGGAAAGGATAAAACCCTTCTCAGAAAGTTCAGTGTGACAACCGCTACTTTTCCTTCCCAGACCAAGGTTTCTGGAATCGAAGAACATACAATTTTGCTTTTGAAATCAAAAGCAGGAAAATTAGAATTGGGAGGGAGCTTGCTTGACTAGGCTGATCGGAGGAGGATGATTCTGATGTTTTTCATGAGAAGTTGATGGAAAGAAGTTTTTTTCCGGGAAAGCCGCAGTGAAAAAGCAACGGTACTCAGAATAAAGAGTGTTCATGAATTGGATGGCAATGACGGATCGGTGTTTTAAGCTGGAAGTTGTTTGCTCTCAATTAATGGATGTTTTATCTCTGACTCAACCATTTCACAATTCATAAAATTAATGTTTTAAATTTTTTATTATATTATATCTTTAATCTTCTCTTCTGAAAGAAATATGGGACATGCGGACGTCAACGTTCTAACTATAAACCGAGATTATCCTAGTATATGCAATCAGGTAAGCATTAGGACTTGCTCACCAATTTTACAGTGCATGAATTGAATAAAAAATATTATGCATAATACGTACATACAAAAGCAATGGACATTATATTTACAACATTGCTTCCCGGATAACTTTATAAAAGCAGATTTGGCAATTGGCAAGCTAAAACCAGTACTTTCTTGCAAATGGAAGATACATGCATTCACAAGCTTGAGCAATTGATGAGACTATATGGAACTAGAAGGAACGTTTTAAAAAAAGTTGGAAAAAATTATTGTCGATCCCGATCTACGGCAATAACTCGTGTTTTGGCAGGAACCGGTGGGGGGACCGCACTTCTTGGAGCCGGAGACGGGCTTGCGCTCACTTTTCTTCTTGGCGCAGCGGGGGCAGAGTTGTTGTTGGTAGTGTATGTTTGTTTTAACCCTGAAATACAAATTGAACAGACGAATAAGAGACCAGATATACCGCTCATAATCTTCTCGAAATCTCCATGACCCATCTGCTGGCTATCAATTTTAGAGCGGGCCCGACGTCCGCCTCCCATTTTTTCTGCCAACTCCACCATAATTTCGTTATGTTGTTCGTTACGATTCATGGCTCTTGAACGTCTGGCAGCTTCCTCAGTTTGACGCTGAAAATTTTTTTATTTTTCTGAAAATGTAAGTGTGATCATACCTTTTCTGCAGCAGCTCGAGTATCGTTGTCTTGTTTACATTTCTTGAAGTTGACAACGAAACTAGCCAGTTTTCCGAAGAAGGCATTAGGTTGCATAACTTTCGCACTCTCTCCGTAGAATTCAACACAGCATTCGTATGTTTTCTGTAATATACATATGAGCTTCGTTTAAGATGTTTCAAACTTACAGCTGCCAACTTGCTATGCTCAATCAACTGAATCATAGCTTCTTTTCTGTCTTCAATGAACTTGTCGAGCGTTGGAGGACAGTCTACTCCTTTCAGAGCCTTCTCCTTCTTTGCTGTTTCAAAGCGTTGTTCTAATTCTTTCATATCAGACATAACACTATCCCATTGAACTCCAGCAGCTTTGTCAGCAAACTTCAGTTGCTCCCCGAAAGCTAAAAGTTCTGGGAACGACTTTTGAACTGAGTCAACAACAAGATGAAGCAGAGTCAGAGTTCTCTCATTAGGAGATTTCAATATAGCCAACTGAAACAATATAATGAGTGAGTTGTAATTGTGAAGAGCATACCGAGTCTAAACTGGAAATTTTGAAACCATAAACACCTCCGCGTTTGCCACTGTTCATATAGTTTCCGTAAGCCAAAATGATTTCAAGAACTCTATGGAACTGGGTTGCTTCCTTAGCACATTTGGACGCAGCAGTGATATGTGTGAATTGCTGCAAAACGTTCCGTCTTCAAGAACTTATAGGTATAAACTTACAGGCTCCAAAAGTGCTGAACACTCATCAAACTCAGCCATGATTTTCATAACATTCAGCTTATGTTCCAATCTTTCAATCGTGCACAAGTTGGCTAAGAAGATATCCTGCAAGAAAAAAACTCCATTAACAGGGCTACGAAACACAAACAACCTCTTCACTCAGGTTTTCATCATTGGTCTTTCCATCATACAACTTTCTCTCATCTTCGGACGGAAGTATACGAGACAGTATGTCGACTTTGTCGGCTGGCAAGCTAACTAAGTCCAACTGGTGAACTGCAGCCATGATGGCTCTAGGTTCCATGGCCAATTTTCTCCTTGTGATAGCTTAATGACAAAGTCTTGAAAAAATATCGAATTCTTATAAACATACCGACGTTCTGCAAACGTTTGGCATCCAAGAGAGTGTTCTTCTTACTTGGAGCAGATCCGGTCGACCCTGGGCTGTGCTGACCAACTATTGTGGATGAATCAGCCGACACTTCGTTTGACACAACTCCAACATTTCCCATTTTGAACATTTCTTCCAACTTTGTGAAATCCAGATTGGGCATGATCTTGTCGTCATTAAGCTCTTGGAAGACGGTATTCTTCGCTTGATTTGGTTTCATAGCTGCCCAATTAAGCTGCGGAAGTTTGTTCCTGAAATCAGAGGTTATTATAATGCACAACTTTAAATGCTTACTTTGTTTGATATACTTTCTTCAAGTTCTGAGCTTCAACCGGCTTTCCGATAGACAGCAGACCTGGTGGGGGAGGCGGTGGAGGAGGACCAGATCCGCCAAGGAAACCTGGAGGAGGTGGTGGAGGACAAGGAGGTCCTCCTAACCCGCCTGGAGGTGGGGGAGCCTTAGGAACTCCTGAGGCCAAGCCACCAAGAGGTGGCGGTGGAGGAGCCGGTGGTACCACAGCTGAGGTGGGTGGTGGAGGAGGAGCAGGAGGAGGGGGAACAGGAGGGCCACCGCTATCCTTATGAGGACCAGGGGCCGGAGGAGGAGGAGTTGGAGGACTCTTTTGTTGTTGTTGCACTTGCAATCCTGCCTGCATAGTCTTCTGAATAGATTCCAACTCCTGAATTTTTTGTTCCAATTGAGCCTGTTTCTGGTTGTGTACTTTCTCCTTTTCATCTGAAGAGCAGAGTATTGCAGTATTTATTGAGTCAAACTAACTGAGAGTTTTTCTCCATGTTCCTTTCTGGACTTCATGCTCACTTTCCAGTTTTTCTCGTTCCCTGACCAATTCGAGCAATCGTCGATCTAAGGCAGCCTTATCTGTGATCCATTTAGCTTCAACCTCCTGTACACGTTCAATGGCCTGGAGAATAGAACACTATTGAAACACAGTCGTATGATCAACTCACCGAAGACAATCGTTCTTTCAAATGATCAACTTCGTCCAATAATTCATTTTTCCTATTAGAATCTTCTTGTAGTTGTACTACATCTATTCGACTACTATTATAAGACTCTAACTGAGCTTTGAGCTCATCAGAATTAAAATATTTTAGCATAGCCTAGAAAGAAGAGTTGAGAGATGTTAAGATGAAGTATGTCTTACCTCTATATAGATATCTATGCCTAGCATAGTGTATTGATATTGAATATAAACACGATGATTAAGATCATCCACATAAGTCATATAAATCTCAAAGAATTGCAATGCAGCAGATAAAAACTCCACGGGGTAAGCTTCATGTTTCTCGATGAAATACATGAGAGTTTGGAACTTCTTGGCCTCTTTGTATTCCTATATCAAGCGCATATTGAATCAGTTCAGACAAAATTGAAACTTACAAAACGGAAACGGTCAAAAGCCGAACTTATGAGTTCATGACCACCCTCCAGAATACAGATAGAAGACAGCAAATTAACGACCAAAGTTTTGGTTCTGCAAAAGGGAATATCAGATTGAATGATATTGAGCAAACGAATTACCTCAAGCTTTGATGAAGAATACTTTGTACAATGCAATAAATAGCAGATTCATGCTCCAATACCAGTTTTAAACCGAGCTGGAACACTCACATTGTTATTTTCAGCGAATCCATGTATAACTCACTTTATTATTAAGAATGGCTCGAAGACAAGCAACACACACATGAATATCGTCCTCTGTTTCTCCGAACTTTTTGCTTATTTTAGATCGTTGAGTTCCGGAAGCACCTGCAATTCATAATTGTACAAAATAAGGAAAGACGACGACAATACTTTTTCGACTGAATAAGGAAGAAGTGTAGGTTGGGTCGATCGTTTGGTCATTTGATCCAGACGGTAAATCACTACAACTGAAAGAGATAACCTGATAAGCAAGCGTAGCCATTATCCCGAACTTACCCTGCTCCTGCTTCAGCAAGCAATTGACTCATATAGTTTATCAGAATCTGTAGTCCATTGTTAGGAGGGTTCAAGAACTCTATAACCCAACTGCAAAAGATGAAAATATTTTTCATTTAGGTTTTAAAAGACTCACTCGACGGAATTAGTTCGTAAAGATACTTCTATATGCTTCAATACTTTCGTGGATGTATCATCGGTAGCCAATGACTTCTTATTCTTTTTCAATGTTTTTTTATCCATGAAATACGACAGCTTCTTCAGATATTCAGTAGGTAGGGAAGTATTTACAAGATTGTTCATAAACATCTGAATTCGCTTGGTTACTAACTGTCATAATACCATTTCAGAAAACCTGATCTGTTATAAGCTTCCACTTCTTTTCTCTGTCATACTCTTCCAGAATGCGAAGCTTATCGACGGGTAAATCCATTTTTTTCTGAAAAATACACAAATTACTCTTTTCAATCCCACATTCTTCTCTTTCTCTATTGAAAGTTCCGCAAAATATTGCCAACTCAAAAAATCGGAAGATCAAAGGATATCCATGGGGACTTCAAAGGGAACGAGACAAGCCTATCACATCACATTACTTATTTGGCCCATAACGTAATTCAGCAGTCTGATGAATGGTCAGACACAAAAAGAGACAATACCAGCATACATTTTATGAAATTGTATTAATAGCACTCTATAAGCCAATGAAGCCTTTGAAGTCTATTCTCATTAGGATCAAATATGCCTTTTCTCTTATCTGAAAACCACTTTGGTCGGATATGTCAACGCTTCATGTTCTTCTAACAAAGGTTTTTAATAACTTAATGACACTTTTTATATTGTATGTACTGACGAAGCCTGTGGTTATGACTGTTGTCACACATGTTTCTTCCGGAACATCATGAAAACCAAACCAAACAGAAAGTGAACGTTCGTTCATAACCAAAAAAGTAAACACTCAAATCTCATGCGCCACATACAAGTCATCAATAATAACTGTACAGTAAATGCTACCAATATTATAAACCAATTCCCAGAAGATTACAGTGACAGAATATAATACTTCATGAACACCTCATCTGAATGACTCTCAATCGTCTGAACTCATTCAAGATATAACAAACATCCTGATTATTCGAATATCTTTACGACCTTGCTATCTGGCATACAAACCAATCGCACTATATTCATAATGACTTCAAGCCCTCATCACGACTGTGAAAAACGATCATCTGTTTGAATGATTGAGAATAGATTCATCTATTTTCTTCAATAGCAGTCACAGTTGTGAAGAATTAAAGCCAATTTGAAGCACACACAGATGACAATTAAGCACGTCATAGTATGCATCATTACCAACTACCTAATGCTAAGAATACACATACACTCACTCACTCACTCAACAATCTTACTCATTCTCTGATTTTAACACTTACCACGACTTCTTCAAACATTGTTGCCAATTCCGGATCAGCCGGAATTGGAGGTAAAGCCGGGGATTGTCCTGGCGGTATCATAATTGATGGCTCCCCAACAAACGAGTCCCGGCTGGTGGGTTCCGCTGAACGACCTCGTCTATGCGAATCACTTGAAGTTCTACTTGAAGATTTCCCGAAAAAAGCTGAAAAAAAAGATAAACATGGGAAAACATGCTGAAAAGAGGGTGAAGTACGGCATGAGAAACCAATTTCATTTCATTAAATTCAAAGAAACCGAAGAATCAGGGTAGCGTATGATTGAAAATGAAGTAAGTACGAAAAGAAGGAAATGCTGAGAGATTGCAAATGAAATTTCTTTGTTAGAGGAAGTCAGGCTAATGAGTTTGAGAAATGAAATGAGAGTATTCAGAGCATCACGATGTATATGCCTATATTGAGAAGGCCATGTAGTGCAGACATAACAGCAAGTAAACATAAGGTGACTCTTAGTAAACGTGCTAATACTCAAGTTATGGCAAGTGACCATTCATCCGTTAACGCATAAGCAATATCGTGTGAATTAATATACTATGAATCGTTCGAAATATAGGGTATGATAAATAGTATTCATGATCAACATCTATCCAATCAAATGTTTTTTTCTAAATATTTGACGACGGCATTAAACCAGCAATATCAAAAGCAAGAAGCAGAGAAGAAAAACCCGAATGTCTAATGCTCCTAGAAGACAAAAAAGCGAGAAATAGCAAAAACGAAAGAGCGGAATAATTAATTCATAAAATTGTATTGGCCATTCATGAATATCACAGAAATACTGGCCGACCGCTAGACAGCCTAGCTAGTCAGTCAAAGACTAACCGGATGAATGTTGATAGCTGAGAACGATTAACGCTCAGTTCTATTCTTTGGTTACTAACCAACAAAATATGTCAAACACCATGAAATCATTATTATAATTTGGAAAAAAAACTAAATCAACTTGAATCAGTACGAGTTGAAGACTGGCCTTTAGCTAAATGACAAGATCGATTTAGAAGATTGACTGTCAAATTGAGAAGACAAAAGAATGCAGTAGCTACGTTTCCATATGACAATATGGAACAGAAAAAACCTTCACACACCCTGTCCGCCAAATGTTTCAATTACAGATAAATATCGATGAAATGATTGAAGAACAAAACAACAATGAGTGAAGAAGTCGAAAGCAGACAATCTTTTAAAGAGAAAAAAATTTGCAAAACACTAGGCCAAATATAGTATGCGGAGCGGGGGAACAGATGATGCGCAGTCTTTGAAGCACTAAGATAAGATTTCCGCCGATACAAGCCTCGAGAATTTGTGTTTCCAAAATTACATTCCAGAACATACAAGACTTAGTGAAGGATTACATAGAGCAATTAATAATGAAAAACAGTACAGAGTGCTAATCAATAAGTAAATGGAAGTGAATTTATATTATTTCAACAAACATATTACGCTCAAGCAGTACAAACTGTTATTTGGGTTGATGCGTGTTCATTCGTTGTTTTTTTAAGTTAAGATGACGCTATTCCTATATTGCTAGCAACTGATTACAGTTATTCAATAAAAGGTTGTTAATAAAACGTTGACCATACTCGCTAATCAATAAAAAAGGGAAAGTTATACGAACAGTGAAAATATATGGAGTGAAGAGTAACAAAATATTTGACAAAAAAAAACTAAACGAGTATACTAACTACTTCCAATGTGAGCAGCTCAACTAACACAAACGCCTAGTTGGCTTTGTTCACAAAAAAAGAAACCAGAGAGCAAAAAGTGTGAACACCTGATCAACAGAAGCCACAAGCAAAAGGAATGCAACCGCTCGATGCGTTGGGTCATCACTATATTGGGTTAACTTTCATGAACTGTATTAGCGTATAATCCATTTATATTAGGATAATTCGTCTTTTTTTTCAAATACGACATCAAGACTATGCTATGAGAATGGGAATTGAAATATTAATTGAAATCCGTGTTCTCTATTCCATAACAGAATACGAAAAAGCTTTCTTTCGTGATCTATAAACGGTTGACAATAGATTGAACAGAGCCTTCAATTCCACGTGGATCACAATAATTATGGTATTGAAAAATTCTGAGAAACAGAAAAGAAATGAGAGACAGAAAACTAATTGTCTAACAGATTTCTATTCAACGACCCACAGAAGAGATGTTAGAAATGGAACGCTGATACCTTTAGACACGCACGCGACTTCGGTGGGCACAGATGGCACAGAGATGATTCACAAAATTTTTGTACTTCAAGGTCGCCCTTTCCTCAGTAAAAATTGCGAAAATCTACTCTTATTTATATGACCAGCGAAATGAAATGAAAGGCATAGGAATCTAAAAACAAACGCTGATTCACACTTGTAAACAGTGCTTCTTTTTTCTCAAGAGGCCATCTGATAGAACAGACCTAAGACTTTTGAAGACAACTTTGAAAAATCAATGTACTCAATTGCTGCAGAAAACAGCTAATAGCGTTTTTGGATCATATAAGCAGATGAGCCCAGAACGCTATGGGTTATTCCGCAATATTTGCAAGTTGGAATAAAATGAAAAGGAAGCTTCAACTAGTTTCGCGAGCTAGTATTCAGATGTGAGGAAGGGACTATTAGAAAAAGAAAGCTATTGAGAGTGTTGAGAGAAAGAAATAAGAAAATCATAGTAATGTTTAGAGAATTAGTGAAATGGTACAGAAGAGAGAGGAAAAGTAAGAGAGAGAGGGAATGAGAGAGAAGCTTCAGAGAAGAAATTGAGACAGAAACAAGACAAAAAATGGAAATGAAAAATAACATCTTCTATTACAGAAAGTCTTACTACAGAAATTGAAAAAGGTTGCTTTAGAAAACATGGATGCTAGTACTAGTGAGGCAAAAAAATGATTGGTCGAACCAGTTACCAAACATAGGTTGGTTTTATCAGACAGATGAAATGGTTTTTCAATTGAATGAATTTCAAAACAGCTCAAAAGCTTTCTGTTTTTATGCAGTTCAACATCATATATATGGAGTTATGACTACTGAGTATGCTGATATGCGTTTGAGTTAGCTAGGGAATATGCAAAGTTTGGGGAAAAAAATAAAAGAAAACTTGGCTTATAAGGCTTATATGAGACAGAGGGCTAAATCTTACTGGCTTCACTGTTTCAGCCATATGAAGCTCTTTAAACAATAACAAACGCAGATATGAGACCAGAAGTGAATTGTCTGCCAATGAAGCTATATAAACAGAAATGAAGATGAGGAAGAGGCATAAACTTCAAATATTCAACTTATTTTCGTTTATTCTTCAAATATCTCTACGACAACGCTTGCGCTTCGTTTTGGTTATGCTTAAACTAGCTTCAAGTTTGCCATTTGTTGGAAACTAATATAATAGATGACATATAGTGGGACTGCTTGTGCAATAGGAGTCACATTAGAAACATGTCTCTCACAGTCCAGAAAAGGCTTTGCACGTATAAATATACATTTATATGCATAAAGCATTTGTAGGCTTATTTGAAAGAAAGAAAAGTTTCACAAAGCGCATATTCATCAATTGAACTCAACTACTTCAATTTAGTGAAATTCCTGCACTTGTTCAAAAGAGATTGAGAATATAATAAAAAAAAATGAAATGACTAATAACAATACTCTCAGCCACCTAACATGCTATTAGCTTTAACACCCTTCGCAGGCCGTCATGAGCATCATCCTAATGCTATATATGATTGGTCATTAATCATAAATGCCACAGCAGGACAATACAATTGTCGCTTAGGAAGACAATAATTTATGAAAATGAACTAGAGTAACCAAATAAGAAATTGAATAGGTCTCTAGAAAACCGAAAAACAAGGTGATAAATTCTTATTTTTTTGGAATATACGATCCGCTAGAAGTTAAAAAAACATGCTTATTTAGCCTCAAAAAGGCAATGATTTTTTCCAGTTGAAGGAAGAACACAGCCTTATTAGCCGAGCAAACAAAGTTCAAATAAACGAAAAAGAGAAAAAAAAATTAAAAGCTAACAAATGCATGAAGGCTGAGCGCAACGAAAAAACATGGAAATCGAACAAAAAATGAGATTACGAGGATTATGTAATGATTCAATGAATAGAAAGACAGGAAGATATATAGCGGGTTGATTAGCCAAATGCTGAACCATCGAGCCGATTCAACAAAAATTAAAGCTTAAACAAAGCACAAAATACAAAGAACTTTCTGAATACCATTACACTAATCTTACGATGAATAATGCGAAAAAATGGTTGCGAGTATTAGAGACTTACACAATTAATTGTAACCGAAGAGATGTGTACAGCGTTAGATACAAGAAAAAAAGGAGGCTAACTAACAAAAAACAGAATCACAGTGTACAGGAAGGATTTAGTAACGAATGGCAAGCGTAAGAAGGTTAGTATAAAGACGGAGAGGGGTTAGAGAAGAAAGGATAAAAGAGATGAGAGAGATTGACATATTTGACCCAAACAGAAGGTTGAGGCTAGGGGGGAGGAGAATTAGTATGCCTCATACCCCTAAACCAGAGTAGCCTTACCGCTACGGCAACTATTCCAGTGCCAAAACTCTCACCGACACAAGCAGCAGCAGCAGCACGACCAGAGGCTTACCCATCAAGCCTTCTTTTAGCCGCCAGAGCTTTGTATCGATTTATGTTCTACATAGTCAATAGAGAAATAGAAGGAGAGACATATAAAGGCAAGAAAAGATGTCACTTTCATTTTTGAAAGCTAATAGTGCACTACTAGTCAGCTAACTTTTGACCAACTTCAGAAATCTTATGCATTTCAAAAGAGAAGAGTGTATTTCTTATCACAAAACTCATTCTTATCAGAAGCATATTCTCAAAATGAAATTTTGATACTATAAAAAGATGATTCCATTTTTATCCTATTTTACAAAGAGGAAAAGAAGCTCAAAAGTACTTATATAATAAGAAAGAAGAAAAGAAGCCCAAAAAAGGCTAATCCACTGATTCGAATGATGCTATTATTTGTTTGTTAGGAGTAAATTTGAGAAAAAGAGAAAAAAAAATATTCTCTGACA